GTCCCCCAGGGTACAGTTTTGAGGTCATTGTTATTCCTCTTGTACGTAAATGACCTCCCTCGTCTACTATCGTCATCAGTCTTGCTTTATGCTAACGATGCCAAGATATGGAGAGTGATACAAAGTTAGGGTGGTAGCTTAAAAATCCAAAACGACCTGGAGAAACTATCTGAATCGTCCCAAACCTGGCAATTGCCGATAAATACTTCCAAGTGTATTGTGATGCAAATTGGCCATCAGGGTACAGATACATACACGATGAATGACACTGAGCTACCTATTGTCCAGACACATAATGACTTAGGAGTCTTTATTAGTCAAGATTTAAAGACTAATGCACACTGTCGTGCAATAGCCGCCAAAGGTTTTGGAACTTTATGGTCCATACGTAAGGCTTTTAATCATCTCGATGCTAAAACGTTTGTGACTTTGTATACAGTGTTCGTTCGTCCTAAACTTGAGTACTGCATACAAGCAGCTAGCCCCTGCCTAAAAAAGACAGTGAACTCTTGGAAAGGGTTCAAAGAACAGCAACTCGGCTGATTCCCGGAATAGCGAAACTCCCGTATGGTACTAGACTGACCAAGCTAAACCTATTCCCGCTGTCATATCGAAGAATCAGAGGCGACTTGATCACAGTTTTCAAATTGCTTAGCGATAAATTTGCACTTGATATGCAAGCATTTTTTCTTGTCTCCCGAAACAGAAAATTTACGAGGACATTCGAAAAATGTTCACAAGCCAAGAGCGAATTCCTTGTCAGCTGACTACCGACTTTCCAATCGAATCATCAATGAGTGGGATTCATTACCTCAGCACGCGGTTTAGGCTCCATCCGTCAACCCTTTCAAGGGAAAGCTGGATCAGCTGAGAGACCATAATTGCCAGGACTAACACAAGCCATCAATGTTACGTCAAATTATTTGTTTTTGCTCGTTCCAACTATTAAAGTACTGGCCGTCGATATTCGCAAATTACGAACCCAAGTAGGCAAGAGGACCAAAACTCCAAATTTGATACAAAGTTTATTCGCAATTCACAAATAATCGACCAAAGTCGTTCTAACAACAATAATTATAACAATTACAAAACAAACCTTCAATTTTGTAGGTTCCCGGATGAAAACTCCCAAATAACAAACCAACGACAAAAGAAACCAAAATATCCGAAAAGAATGATATAAACAAACAAGTCCAAAGTTTAAGTAAAACAAACACATCCAAAAAACACAGTAAAATTGATGTACATAAAAAGGCTTTAATTAGCCAAATGTCTTCAGTTCTCCCGTAACAATCAAGCCTCCTGTCCTTTCCAAACTGAAAACTAAGTCGCAATACTCAGAAACTAGAATTTCATCATAACCGAATGGAAAGTAGACAAACCTTTCCTTCTTTACGAGTAGTTGAACTATGGGATTCTCTGCCTGCTAAAATGGTCCAAGAGACTTCGCAGTTGTCTTTAGGTGGCAATTTCACACATTTTTGAGAACTCAGGACTTCAGTTCACTATAATCTAACAACATCTCTCTCCCTGTCGTTATATATGCGTAGGTTCTATCTGGAGACACTGATGATCTACTAACACTAGATATAGAAGCCCATCAATGCAAAGGTTCTTCTAATCTGCCGAGAACTATTTGGAAGTCAGAGAGCGTTCTTAAAGAGTTGCGCTACGTGAATGACAATCGCATTTCAAGAGCCTGTTTTCCTGTTACCGTATCATTTGGCGTTCCTTATATCCACCAGCAGGGTAAAAATACAATAATATTAATTGTGTATACACTATAAACTGTGATAAAAGCTGTAAATAAATATCCTATTTGCTGTCATACAATAAAAACGAATTTGGTAAAAAAGCACTGTGAATAATTACCACTTACGATGAATATTGTACCAAAGCGCGTACATATAATACGTTTTATCATAGTGATGGAAACGGAGTCATCCTGAGCTTTTTTAACCACGAATTCTCAACTATTCTTCAGTAATAAGGATAGGACGTATATTAACCTATACTCATCCTTGCAGTTTGTTACACTGTGTTTGTCCAATCTCGTTTTGAATATATCAACAGAAGGTGCTGATATTACGTGTTCTGGTAGAGAATTCCAGTAATTCACTACTCGGTGCGAGAAACGAAACTCCAGACTTAAACGATTTGATCTCGGTTCTTGAACTTTCTTCGAAAGTCTTCTCAAATGATCAGCCCTAGATGGAAGGAAAATATAGGACATGTTAGTACCATGGTCATCGTTCAGGGTACGATAAGCCAATATTAGATCACCTCATATTCGCCGGTAAGATAACAGAAATAAGTTGGTGTCTCAGTCTGTCTTCATGAGATAGGCCAGATAGACCTTTTATCGTTTTAGTCCCTCGGTGTTGGACTCGTTCCAGCATATCCGCCTCATATTTGAAACAAGGACTCGCTGCTTGAATCCCATATTCCAAATGTGGTCGTACGAAAGTCGTGTATGATAATCTAAACATTTCCTCATCCAGATACCGGAAAGATCTACGAATAGACCATAATACCCTATAGCCTTTTGCAGCAGCAGCAGCCTTACAGTGGCTAGTTGTTTTTAGATCATTGCTTAGTATGACTCCTAAATCTTTATGGTTTCTTACTTTGGGTAACACAATCCACATATTGTGTAGTAATACGAATCGTCGTAGTTATTTAGTTGCATCACTAAATTCTTAGGATTCACTTCCAGTGACCACCCGTCCATCCATGTCACTAATTAGTTGAAATCTTCCTGTAATACTATTCTATCTGACATGCTGTATATGGGTCTCCAAATCTTTATGTCATCGGCGAAGAGTGGGACGGATGGTTCCAAAACTTTCCAGTCTTAATTTGAGATCAAAATGGGAGACCTTACCAAAGGCTTTACTTAGATCTATGAAAATCACATCCACAGGAACATTTCAATTTTTCACATCAGCCCAATCTTCTCTTGCAATGAGATTTGTCAAACATGATAGGCCTTTCCGAAAACCATGCTGTTTCGTGGATAGAAGAATATGTCCTTCCACACAGTTTATAACAGCCATCCGAATAATTTTTTCCACCAGTTTTACAACTGCACTAGCTAAGCTAACGGGTCGATAGTTACTAACTAAATCTCTACTGACCAATCTGTCTTAGCAGCACACTTCTGAATGGCTGATGTGTTAGTTCTCCATATGTTTTGGCGAGGCTTAACCTGATCGTGTATCATGTCACTAGCTGTAAACGTGGATGATAAAACAGCGTGATCGTTATTCACTAACGGGGGAAAACATTTAGGTTGGCAATATCCTCAGTCTCATGAGTGATTACCAAGTCCAACTATCGAAGAAAGTTCAAGAACCGAGATCAAATCGTTTAAGTCTGGAGTTTCGTTTCTCGCACCGAATAGTGAATTACTGGAATTCTCTACCAGAACACGTAATATCAGCACCTTCTGTTGATATATTCAAAACGAGATTGGACAAACACAATGTAACAAACTGCAAGGATTAGTATAGGTCAATATACGTCCTATCCTTATTACTGAAGAATCCAGTCAACCAGTATCAACTTTTCTTATGGGAAATTTCGATTGAATTCCGGAAGAAATCCCACATTTGGGTGAATCTAAGGCTTTGATTTTAATTACATTTCTTCAAAAAATTCGAAATCCTCAATAGAACTTTGCCAAAACATATCCTTGATCACTACGTTAGGATTTTAGATTGAAAATGAAAATGGTCATTCGAAATGTATATTTTGGTTTGTGAATTCACGTGCTAGGTGTAACAAATCTGAGTTAGAGGTAAAGCATAAAGTTCTCGTGAACACATCGTGTGTCTCATGCGCTTGGAAACCAGTGTACAATATACTTCTTTACTCCATATTAATCTTATTAATGATAGTAATATGGAATTTAATGAACCATGTTTAAGGAATAATATAAACATACATGTTGGCGATTCGCAACATCCTAGACGAACGTTAATGTAGGCATGTCAAAATCAATCTGTGAACATTAAGGGTCGGAAAGTTGGATGTTTCCTGTATTTCGGGAAAGTTAGATTAAGTATTGTACTAAAGGACACTAGTAGAGGAATCATGGTTAAATTTAAAATTATCGTTTTTCGACTCCCCTTAATTCAGTTTATAATTCAACTAGACTGGTTTGTTTGCAGCGTACTGTTACGAAAACTTTCACTGAAATAGTGAATGGTACTTTTCTTGGAAAAATATACTAAGCTTAACTATATTAGATAGTGTTAATTGGATCCACTCCCAGATGTTCTTCCGAAATCAGTTAAATAGTAAAACCAAAAGACTATGTTTTACTGTTATTTGATTTTCTTTGGTTTCATCACTACATTTTCATACTCCATATTGTATCAATTCTTTTTTGTGGACAGTAGTAGTTAAAGAGCATTTGTATTCGTAAATGACATGCAGATAATGTTAGTGTAAAGCAAAAACTATGGGTTTCTTGAGGATTTAAGGTCTTGATAGTTTTATGTGTTCACTGTTTCAAAAGCCCCCAAATGCCCTGGTACGGCCGAGAGTGGGGAGAGTCTACTCTCCCTCTCGAAATGCTCTCACATGGCCACGCGTATATAGCCCCAGCCAGGGAAGCCCTACTCACTGCCTTCTAGTGGCGGGGGTGTTGTTTACGAAATTGAGAGGACAAAAAGCGAATGTCTGGCGCTATAACTGGGTTGGTGGATATGAAGAATTCACCTAGGGGAGTTGGAAAACCCTGATTCCAAACCAATGGTGCACATGGGCTTCCGGTATCCTGAAGGAACACATGGCGTACGAACCAATCGTTGGTCACCGGCTACCGTGGGACTGCATTTTTTCACGATGCTCCACTGCCTTGTGGGTTAGACCTCTAGGTCAAAAGCTCGGGGTGTGGTCCCCTAAGAAAACCACCTGCTTCGGTTTGGGCACCCGGGCAGTATCACAGCCCTCACGCAAGTGTGGCACATATGTATCCGGTGCCCTTTGTACCAATATATATGTGATTAAATAAAAAAAGTAAAAAGACATCAATAATTCCGGCAACGCCAACAAAACAACAAGATTTTCGGGAGCAAATTACAGTAGTTTTGGATATATCTTACTACGGGGTTCAGTTATCGTCGAAAAATCCAATAATAAAAAGGAAAAAACAGCCAAAATATCATCTCCAAAAGTATGACGTCTTAATACTTGTATACGCCTATGAAACTGGAAGGGATAATTTTTGAAAATGTAGATGTATTTACACTAAGTACCAGCTGCAGCCGATGTACATTCTTCCACAGGAACCCACTTTTAAACCTAGAGGGAACAGTTCACGAACTTTGGTCAGTCGAAGTTTAGCTGGGAAAAAGCATTCTTGACCAACAGTTCTTAAATAAATCTGTTGTTTAATCAGAATTTACTCAAAGCACTTTTTAGTTGTAAAACGCTTGACTCCTATCGGTTTCATATTTTCGATGGTCTATGCAGTCTAAATAATGAATTCGAGAATAAAAAGGGACTGTAGTACTATAATTTATTAGACCATCACTGTCAGGTTGCTTTGTATACAAACTGGTGGAAACTCATGCTGATACGATAGCCAAGTCCATCAAATTTCGCATTATTTTAACGATCGATGTTTTTCTGGAGATCCTTTATTGTCTATAAACAGGAAATCAGTATACTTCATGACGAAAACCAAGTTTAATAAGTAGTAATGAAAGACAATGTTTTTAAACTAGTAATCCTCTCGAATACATGGGGGTTGGTAAGTTCACAATACCTCCACTAATACTAGATCTTTTATATCGCGAAATTACAGATGTTGGTTAAGAAATCTGTCTTGGTGTTTTACGTCCGTTATTCTGGATGCTGCGTCTTTGCATATTTTGCTTTAATGTTTGAACTGTATAGTCAATCGCGCACTAATTTTCACAATATATTTTTTAGGGGACTTATGCTGCCAGTTACAACTGCATATAAGCTGCTTGTGAAGACTTGTAATGATTGACAGAAAATGTGTTAACTTTTGCTATAAATATCTTGACAAAGTTGTACGTCTTTGTCAACAACCAAAATTGAGCTTGAAAGCCAGTCCGCCTTACATTTTGGATACGATTCCGGATATATATGAAAAACTACAAAGAATAATTGCAAATTACGAAGAAAACTATGATGCACTCTCGGAAATAGAATACTTTCAAATATATATTTCGACTTTGATTGAAAAATCCAAGCAAACTATTAGTCTTTTCAAAAATTCCAAAGAGAAAATTTTCGATATCAACTCAGATGCACGTTTTCGTCTGATTAAGTTGTCGCTAGTATATTCACATCTGCTTAACGATTTGGAAGCCCTCTTCCCACGTGATACTTTCGACTCAAAGGGTTTCCGTATAACAAAACCTAATGCAGCTCGATGGTGGTTGAGCAATTTTGGGGATAGTGTAGTTGTTTCTTGGCAATTATTCAAGGATTCGTTAATTCAAACATTCAGGATAGACTCTGATACTCAACTGTTGGCTCTCCAAACGACCATAGACATAACTTGCAATGACTATGTATCTATTTTTGAGTTCGATGTATTTACTAGATTGTTTCAACCGTGGAACAATATACTAGAAACTTGGAAGGCGTTAGCCATCCTCCATCCGGGTTACATGGCGTTCATGACGTATGATCAAGTTAAAGGTGTTCTTAAACGCTACTGCACTCACCCTGGTCCAGGAACATACATTTTTCGATTATCATGTACTAAATTGGGTCAGTGGGCTATCGGATATATTACACAAGAACTAAAAATCGTACAAACTATAATACAAAACAAATCCTTGGCACAAGCGTTGGTTGATGGAGAAAGAGAAGGGTTCTACGTATATCCGAACGGGAAACCCAGTCCTACCACTTTGTTGTACCATTTAACAAATAATCTCCTTCAGGTCCACTTACAAGTAACAAAGGAACAATATCAGCTTTATTGTGAGATGGGTTCGACCTTCGAATTATGTAAGATTTGTGATGAAAATAATAAAGATACGCGACTCGAACCTTGCGGCCATTTGATTTGCAAGAACTGTTTACTTAATTGTCAATCCACAGGTAATGGTCTAACATGTCCGTTTTGCCGCCTGGTAATTAAAGGGACTGAAGATATTATCGTTGATCCTTACAAACCACCAAGCGACTCTGGTAAACTAAGTTTCCACCCCAGTGAGCCTATCGTGATTTGTCATCAAACAGCGTCCCTTCATGAGATAGCTGACAAGCCTTCGGAATTGGCTTCGTCTTCTGTCAGCGCCTTGTGTAACAGAAAAAGTCTCACACCAGATTTTCTACCTGTGGGACCACCACCTATACCGCCAAGAAACTTTTATCTGACATCTACCATAGATAATACCGTAAATTACAACAACGAACTTCAAGCTAGTTGTCATACTCCTACTTCAACAAACTGCGGATTCGAAATTTCAACATGTCCTGATTTCGATGAAAACATTCAATTCGCAAATCCCGACTCATCTGTTAAAAATGATACGCTTAGTGACTGTAATGAAGATAGATGCTTATGCTCTCAAGGGAACAATTCTCTGTTGCTAACACATTTTATGTCCCAGACAGATACGGGGAGTTGTGGTCGTACAATGGATTTAAATTACGCTCAGTTAGATTTAAACAAGTCAGATTCTGATGATGAATTGGAGGTTAGTTTAGCCTATAATGAAAAAGACGGAATACGAGACCAGCAAGATGATATCAGGGCATCTGCACAACAGAACATAAGTACAAACCTAGATCTCATTTGTGAATCGTTGTCGAATGCTAAGAACCATATGAACTGTTTTTCAGATAATTTGTCTAACAAGAATACGATCCCCTCCAGTATGTTACACTGTGATCTCACCGAATGCCAAACAAGATCTGTGAATGAAAATGTGAGAGAATTAATTGGTTTACACCCTGAAATGACTGAAGCAACAGCCACGCTTTTACTCACTTTAACGGAGAACCGTCTACATATTTCACATGAAATATGGAAGCACTTTATGCCTCGTGTTTAGAGAGACATGTAAGCACTTATTTTCAATAATATGACTAATGTTATTTTGCTCAGAAATAATGTATTAGGCTTAATGTTAAAATTATTTTATACTTTATTATTTTCGATTTTACTTATATTGGTTAATGATTATTGTCCTGCAGAGTTCGACTAGATTTTAGGTAGGATCACCCAATTTTTGTGCTTTCAAGTTGGTACTGACAACAATGCCTACCTAATCTTTTTGTATATCGTATAAAATTTTCTACTAAAATTTCATTTTAACAACGAATAAATGTATGATATTTTACTGATAGTTTGAAATACACTCGATTTGACTTTCAAAATTGTTTTTTTTTATCCCAAAGAATATAGTGCAAATAAAATCTCTCCATGTGGTTAAATCTGATTATATATAAGGGCGTCAGCGAAAATTATCCACATTTTCCATTTATTTATAGGGTCTACACTGATTAGGAAAGTAAATAAGTACTTCAGTAATACATGATAGATAGTGTGGTACTCATTATTATTCTTATCTTGGAATTAGATAGAGTAGATATTAAATGTTTAGTGATTGGATGTAGTGGTCAGGAAACCTTAGACCTAGGTTTCGTGCTCGCTGACGCTCGTCAGTAAGGCGCATCTACAATTTTTAGGGCACTGGTGCTTGTTTTAGGGATTGGCTGATTGTAAGTATCTATTCTAGAGCACCAAGAATATCTCAGACTGTGATGCAAATCCGAATCCCACGGGGAGCGTCAGTTCATCTGGAAATTGCAGGTGTCTTTCTGGGGAGTCCCAACCAACTGGAGATGTAGGTCTAGTAGTATTTCCTGTCAGCTACTTCCAAATACCTAGCATATCAACATAATGCACGTGATATCGAAGCATTTACACTAGAGGCCATACTGCGACTTAATTGGTAGAATTCGATCAACACGATAGGATTGAACAAGTGTGGCGCTGACCATTACTCAGTGATCAATCGATTGTACGTTAGGAAATCTGACGTAATTGCTAATTACAAAAAGTGGTAACTATAATTTTCGACTTCAAATAAACAAGTGAAACAAAAATATGTATTACCGTCTAATTATCTTTGTTTTTATAGGGGTTAGTATGAATTGCTTTTTCATACACTGGCAATGCAGTATTTTTCCAGTAGGTGAATCCTCTAATCAGGTTTTTGTTTCTTTCAGCTAAACATTCGCGAAAATAAATTAGTTTTTCTGATCCAACAGATAAAAAACGGCTAGGTTCGCAAGTATATTGGATTGTAGAATTACGGCATGGTTTCAACAAGTCGCACATTTGATCAGCTAATTGTTCGCCAGTTTCGAAACATAAGCCATATTTATTATCCTCCATCAATTCACTTAGTGTTGCATAACCTAGCGCCAGAACGGGAACGTTCACACCAAGTAAATCAACTACCTAAACATATGCAATCAAAATATATCCATAGAACATGTGTTAAATGATGTTAGGTTAAAATAATTGATGATTAGTAAGAAGTGAAAATCTACATGGGTATATATATATTGAAAAGCTGAATCTTAATAAACAAAGCTTTTGTTTTCTATATTTGACCATTCTAGGTTTTTGGGACTACAATTAAAATAAGATGAATATACCTATCACATGTACTTCTGTCCTTCATACTCACGTAATCTTGTGTTAACTCACGATTGGGCTAGTTTATGGTATGGCTATCTGGTAAGCGTTCTTTAGGAAATAAGAGCCTTTCAGACTTCAAAACAACAAAATGACGGTATTTCCCCTTAAATACATCCACAAAGAGCTTCGTCTGTAGATAGAGAAATAGGTTTACTTATATTTCTTAGTTTAAAAAATTATTCTGGCAATAACTCCACTTCGTGGTTACATATTACGTAAGGTAACAATTTTAGACTACACATACTACTTCTTTGTAATACATCTGAAAATACTCCAAACGCACTTTCATGGGTAAATCCAGTCCCGAGGAACTTCGATGTATGCTAAGTCCTAAGTCAGCACATCCAAGGAAAACAGGATAATCTGACCACTCAAGCCACAACATAACGACTTCCACATGTTTCCAGTTTTGTTCTTTTATTAATTTCGCATAGTAGCTTTGTAATGGACCACGACCTAAAGCAAGGGAAGTAAAAGGACATGACAATATTTGTGAGTCACATTCAGGTAGAAACTTTAAATCACTTCTGTGGTACTTTGAACTAAGTGACTTGAATAAAATATTATGTGCACATAATATTCTTGCGTTGTTCCTTTGTACTATTCAAACTTGGATTAATTTTGATTTGGTTATTAATTCTCTGAAGAAGTGGCTTACACCGAGTCACGCAACGTCAGAAAATCCAATTTTTCTACTCATTGGGATATTACAAAAATATTATTTTATTTATAACAATCTACCCAATGCTCAGTTTACTCGAAATTATCCCTATCCTTATTATAATATTGAATAAAGCCATTAATAATAATAATAAGTTGGACCTTGGTAATGATACCTATAAGTGACTTAAAATTATCTCATATAATGAACAACACTTTTAAAGTTATCAAGAAGTGTGTTTTAAAATCTGTTTTACGAAGTAAAATTACAGGTCCTTTGGATATATACCTTTTTAATAAGTGAGATGAACGGAAACCTAAAATACTGCTATTATTTAAATAGATTTTCAGTTCGATGGTATACTTGAAGCTCTGTTTTGGTGGAGTAAACGAAATATGCCTTATTATTATTAACTACATACAGGTAATGAAGATGGGATGCAGATAACGCAATATCAAGTAGAATGCAGTTAAGACAAGATTGGAAGGGGCGAAGCCATTAGAAAATAAACATTTTAGATGTAAAGGATTGATCTAGGATGATACCATAATTTGTTTGACAAATATGACTTATAGACAAAACCAGTCACGCTACGATAATGATAAGTCAGATTAGGTTAAAAATGTCTAAGACAACAAGACTGAACATAGTTCAGCGTAAAATTATACCTGTTACAGCAAACACAATACTGGGTAAACCTGAATCCAGTTTTTCAGCTGCCTTGTCGTAGATTTCCAGTGCTTTAATCGCCAACGTGAAGTCATCATCAGGTGTCCAGCTGCAACTACTGACAACCAATGCTGGGCGATCTGGGCGCCAATGGGGTTCATTGTTCTTGGTATTAGTCGGCAGAGCAGTTATCTCAGTAAAGCGTGTGAATCGACATGAATCTAGTTTGTTCCTAAACACTGCGTATTGATCGCTGAGTCTAAAAATTTAATAAACCTATAAAGTTGAGAAAACTGTCAAGAAACACTAGGAAAATATAGAAATTAACTTTTCGGAAATAATTAGCTTATATAGTCGGTGCTTTATTAGTACAATAACGACTTTTGTACGATTTTACATTCGTAAATATACACTAACCTGCTTTTGTACCCACTAGTGATAAACGGTAAGTCAACAATACGAACAGGTAATAACTTCTTGTCATCAGTCTTATGTGGAGATGAAATCTGAGCCTTGGTTCGTGACGGAATGAGGTTCACTTATATCAAGTGGCTTTCACATAGTACTTGGTACACAGTTACTTTAATACAGTCAGTCAGCTACAACTTAGGACCATGCACATATATGCATCGGTCCACACCTTATTAGCACGACAAGACGAACAAATTCTTAGAAGCAGTTACTTCAACGGTAGTAATATATTAGAGAAAGATTGCTTATAAAGATATGACACAAGAAGAGTTAGTTTGTAGGAAGAAGGGTATAAAGTAATTTTAATCTCACGGTTTAGGGGAAGACAAAAAGTGTATACACTTACGCCATTGTGACCCATTCTGAGCTATGTCACACAGAGTCTGCAACCATTGGTTACGATAGCTGCATGGACCCAAACCAAGTAGTCTGCATCTGACAACATAGCTCAGACCAGAAGTTAGTTACTTCAAGCATTGATGCCACGTTTTGGTTTGACCGCCCCAAACTTTATTTCAACTATCTCCAACACTAGTCAGCATTGTGCGTCGTGGTAATCGGTGTTCAAGCATACGTGATACGTGGCTCAACCACCTCAGTCGATGGAGATTTACATCCTCATCGACTGATTTACAATAATTCCGTAATACCTTGCGTCTAACCTCACTATTACTTATTCGGTGATCCTAGAAGATGTGAGCAATATTTCTAAGATATCTGTGATCAAATACCAGTAACTTGCGAGTATCTTCTACTCTTAATGGTTACGTTTCACAGCTGTAAAGTAGAACAGAACGAACTGCTGCGCAGTGTACTCGTCCTATTATTGATAGACAGATATCTAGCGTTCGCCATAGGTGACGTAAGTTGGCAAAAGCAAAACGAGCTTTTGGAATCCGTGCAGAGATTTTGTCAGACGCCAACCCATTAGGGCTGATCAGACTTCCAAGATAAGTTTTCGACGCATTCGACTACTTTACTCCCTATTCTTAGTTCAGGTGTTGACGCAGACCCTGAAGCAACAACTTGCATTTAGAGGGGGGGGGAACGCATCCAAAACATCCTGACATTGTTGCTCAGTGCTGCCAAAAGACTCCGCATTTTGTCAGCGTCTTCACCAAACAGGACTATGTCATCTGCGTATTCTAGGTCGATAAGTGGACCTCCTGGTAAGAGATCAGCGCCCGAAAATTCAGTCAACGAGAACGTCATTTCCAGCAGTAGGTCTATGATGACGTTGAACAAAAATGGAGATAGTAGACAGCCTTGCCAGACACCACTTGAGGCTGCGAAACCAGAGGACAGTTCTCTATAAGCTCTGATTCGAATAGTAGTATTGACGTAAAGAGCCTTCATAAGGTTTATGTACTTCTGTTAGCGCGACATAGATTGGATTAAATCATGTTTCATGCATGATGGTGTTGCTGCGCGCTGATTGGCTAATTCTAAACCGATTAGCCCGGGCATGTTATTGGAGAAAAATCTGGAAGCTTCTTTTGTATATACTATAAATATATGAACGTTATTCAAATCAGTGATTCCTGTTCAACGTGTTCTGATTTTGGGGTCTTGTCGAGTGTCATCGTATAAGAATACTAAGCAATAGGAATAGCTGGGTCGTTTATTATCAAAACAAATATATAACAGTGGCGACGAGGAAAAAGGAAAACTCATTCAAAATGCCTATATCAGATGACCAGCTCAGCTGAATACTACAACAACAGCAAACACAACTTGATGCACAAATGCGGTTGTTGGAGACTCTGATGCAACAGTTTAGCATCCAAAACTCGATTTTACATGCTGTTTCAAGTACTTCTTGTGATGCAGTTGCTAGCAGCATCCCAGAATTCATATATGATCCCGAAAGTGGAAATATTTTTCTCACGTGGTTCAAGCGTTGGGAAGATACATTTAGAATAGAATTCTATCAACAAGATGACGCATGGAAGACTCGGTTGTTAATGCGTAAGTTGGAAAGCAATGAACATGCACGTTATGCTGATCATATAATGCCAAAGTTACCTCGAGAGCTCAGTTTCGAGGAGACAGTAACGCAATTGTCAGAGATATTCGGTGAATCTTCCTCATTGTTTAGTATTCGATATCAGTGTCTGAATTTGGTGAAACGTGAAGCCGATGAATATGGTGCTCTAGCAAACGTCGTCAACAGAGAGTGTGAACGGTTCAAGTTACGCTCGTTGACAAAAGATCAATTTAAATGCCTTATATTCATCAAAGCTCTGCAGTCACCAAAAGATGCTGAAATTAGAACCAGACTTCTAACTCGTTTGGATGAAGACCCAAAAGTCACACTCAGAACATTGACAGATGAGTGTAAACGACTACAAAACATCAGACACGACAAATTCTAATTTAACCTGCAGTAGTGTAAATGCTATGACTAGGTTAAAAAGTCAGAAGCCGAATAAAACTCAACAAACCAACGGATGCCTGTTGGTTATGCGGCGATGGGCATTATGTACGGTTCTGTCCATTTAAGAAGCATAAATGTCAGGAGTGCAACAGACTTAAACATAAAGACGGCCATTGTCCATCGAATCGTACGTCCCAGCCCAAGAAGTATAAACGTCTTTCACATGTGGTGAAATCAGCCGAGTCTAAATCTCTTTCTCTGGTAGCAGCTTTTCAAACAGACTATGACATTCGGAGAAAGTACGTTACGATCCAGATTAATGGTATAGCGGCTCGTCTTCAAATTGATACAGCATCCGATATTACTCTAGTGTCTAGAGAGACGTATAAGTTGCTGGGAAAGCCGCCAATGAAGCCATCCAAGAAAACGGCTAAAAATGTATCTGGAGGCGTACTAAAACTAGTTGGCGAATTACAATGTGAATTTTCCTTCAATGGAAATAACTGTAAAGGGGTATGTTATCTAACAGAACGATCGAACCTTGATCTACTTGGTCTAGATATGTTAGAAAAGCTTGGATTAATGGATATACCCATCAACAGCGTTTGTAACGTGTCATGTTTATCATTAGACACCACTTCATATGCAAAAAAGACAGGTGAAAAGGTTCTAGAAAATCTTAAGAGAAAATTTGCCGCTGTTTTCCAGAATAGCCTTGGTCACTGCACTAAAGTGAAAGCTCATTTACCCCTGAAACCAGATGCCAAACCCACTTTTCGCCCGAGACGTCCTGTGCCATATGCTGCTTTTGAATTAGTCGATCAGGAACTTAATCGTTTGCAGCAAGCTGGTGTAATCCAACCGGTTAATTACTCTGCATGGGCCGCGCCGATTGTAGTGATTAGAAAGCCCAATGGAACTATTCGCATATGTGCTGATTTCTCAACGGTTTTAAATGCTGCATTGGATGAATATCAATATCTATTACCTGTTCCTGAAGACCTGTTTGCTAAACTAAATGGTGGTACATGTTTTGCGAAAATAGAGTTTTCGGATGCCTATCTGCAAGTGGAGGTAGATGACGATAGTAGAGAGCTTCTGACTATCAACACTCATCGAGGGTTATTTCAATACACCCGCCTACCATTCGGCATCAAGACCGCACCTGCCATCTTTCAGCAAATAGTGGATACAACGCTAACTGGCATACCGGGTGCAGCAGCTTATTTAGATGACATCATAGTTATGGGTTCCACTAACAGTGAACTTTCCGATCGTCTACACCAAGTTCTCAACCGAGTGTTGGAGTATGGTTTTCAACTACGTGAAGAAAAGTGTATCTTCTCCATGCATTCGATCAAATACCTTGGTTTCATCCTAGATTATTTATTTATTTAAACACATATATATTGGTACAAAAGGGCACCAGGTACATATGCGCCACACAAAATAATGAAAGTAGGAAGAGAAGGGATGAAAAGATAAGGCGGATTGAAATGTACAACCAGAAGACTCTTTCAGTTAGGAAAGTTAGAACCATTCTTTATGTAGAAAGTAAAAGAAGGTTGCAGCAGGATCGCCACTGGCTTCTATTCTGAGCCATATCTGATAACGTCTCTAGCCACTGTGTTGCACCATCTCTCGGACCCCAACCAGGGAGTCGTGAAGGACCAACAGAAGCTAGCCCTTTGCAGCTCTCTTTCATGCCACGACACCATGTCATACACTGACCTCCTCTCCGCTTTTTCCAACCAGTCCCAGGGTCGGCAAATAATGCACGACGTGGAAGTCTCTGGGACGACATTCGTAAAACATGTCCAAGCCACCGAAGTCGGTGTTTCAAGATGGTGACACCAATTGAATTATCATCTCTGCGCCCGAACACACGACGCCGAACCTCTGCATTACTAACATGGTGTTGCCACTGTATGTCAGCAATCCTTCGGAAACAACGATGATCGAACACAGAGAGTCGTCTAACATCCTCAACTCGGAGAGGCCAGGTTTCACAAGCATAGAGCAAAACTGCTCTCACCGACACGTTGTAGATCCGACCTTTTACAGCCAGACTAACATCACGAAGGCGCCAAAGATGGCCCAGATTGGCATAAGCCGCTCTGGCTTTCATTATACGTGCATCAATCTCATCACTCACGCCACCACCAGCACTTATATAGCTACCTAGATACACGAACTTCTCAACTACTTCGATCTCCTCACCATCCAGGGTGAGTACAGGATTAGAATCCTGCCAGTCTTGTAGAAGTACTTTGCACTTGGAGGGTGCAAAGCATATGCCGTACCTGCGGACACTGATTGCCAACTGATTAAGTGCTGATTGCATGCCTTGGGCATTATCGCACAGTAAGACAATATCATCCGCATACTCGAGGTCGAGAAGTCGTTCTCCA